ATCCCTAAAGTTGCAAAGACTGAATTCTCAAACCCAAAGAGATATTCTTTATAAAAGTTAAGACTGGTCCACGCCCTCCTAAAACGCCTCGTTTAAACACGCCCCCACATGTCTACATCACTGTGCCGCCCAAATGTTCACGCAAAGAAAAACGGCATAACTTTATTGTTGCTGCCGCCACCGCCATGTTGTGAAGACGCTGTGTGTTTCGTTGTGAAAGCAAAAATACTGTGGTAGAAAAATTCATTTCTATTGATTTTTGCATGATCTTATATGCTTTTGGAACATTATGTAGTGTATGCTTTTTCTTAGAACTGCTGTGTAGTCAAAGTGAGAGATGGGTTTGGGGCCTAAGCATAAGATGTATGGGTGACAAGAAATCCACAGGGCCATGCTGGGCTGAGAGGAGGACAACTGAGAGACCCATAGGTGTCTGTCTGTGACCTAGAAGGTCATCTAGGCCCTAAATATAGGGGGGAACCAAGCTTTAGAAGTATGATATAGTAGTGTGTTTTTGACTTTCTTACCATGTGTGGAAAAATACAGCTGTTAAGAGTTTGTAACCTTGACTGCAAAAGAGATATAAAGTGGAGGAGCGCCGCCCCTTCTTTGTCACACTCTGCAGCGACTTGTTTCTATATGATGTCTGGCCTTCTTTGCAAAGAATAAAACCTTTAAAAGACAACTGAGAGTGAGTTTGTCTCTTATGCTGATGAGAGTCATTTTATTTTGCCCATACATACATATATATATATATATATATGTGTGTGTGTGTGAGTTTATATGTATATGTAACTTTATACCTGCATACAGTGGATGGCCAGACCAGGACCAGTGTATAACTTCTTGTGACATATGTGACACTTAAAGTGTTTGGCCTTCTGATGCTGAATGAGAATCTTTTCATCATCAAAATCCCTGTTACAGTACCTGTGTTTGCAGTTAAAGTCATATAAACAAGAAAAAAAGCATAACAATAAAGCACCAAGATAAGCAGAAGGGACAGACTGTCAGCATAAGGAAGCTTAAATCTTTTTCTACTTCTTTCACTATTATACCCTAGTAAAATGGTTCTCAACCTTTGTCCTTCAACCCAAATATTCAGATATTGCAGATATGCACAGTGTGCAGCGCATTTTATGGAGGACTGTTTCCTGATCCTGGAAGAGTAGACTACAATGCTGGCTGTTCTGACTCACAGTCTGTAAGTTTGTTTTCATATTTAAAGATTTTGCCACTGATGATTTAAACGCGAGTTTTTTGGGCAGTGTAGAGTAGCACTTGTTGTTTGTCATTTCTCTGATCACAAATGCAGACATGGTTTTAAGTTTACGTGGCGCGATGCAACGCGTAAAAAGACAGTATAAGTCATTATAATCCGTAATTATGTCCCCACTGGATGCAACAAATGCCTCGTTTGTAATGGGTTATAATGTTTTTGAATCATCGCTCCGGCCGGGACAG